TCCATTTATGGACTGAAGCAGGCTTCGAGGAGCTGGAACCTTCGCTTTGATGAGACAATCACAAAGTTTGGTTTCTCACAGAACGAAGATGAGCCATGTGTTTACAAGAAGGTTAGTGGGAGCACAGTAGTTTTTCTGGTGCTGTACGTGGATGACATTCTCCTTATAGGGAATGACGTTCCTACCTTGCAAGACGTTAAGTCTTGGCTAGGAACGCAGTTTTCTATGAAGGACCTAGGAGAAGCGGCCTATATTTTAGGCATCAAGATCTATAGAGATAGATCGAGGCGTCTTCTAGGATTATGTCAGAATACTTACATCGATAAGGTCTTGAAACGGTTCAAGATGCAAGATTCCAAGAAAGGAACCTTACCGATGAGCAGTGGCACAGTTCTCTGCAAGAGTCAGTGTCCTACGACACCTGATGAGCGAGAACGCATGGATCGGATTCCATATGCTTCGGCAATTCGATCGATCATGTATGCCATGCTTTGTACTCGACCGGATGTATCCTACGCGTTGAGCATTACGAGTAAATACCAGTCAGATCCATGTGAGTCGCACTGGATCGCCGTCAAGAACATCCTGAAGTACTTGAGAAGAACTAAGGATGTATTCTTGGTATACGGTGGGTCGGAAGACGAGCTCGCTGTAAGAGGTTACACCGATGCTAGTTTCCAGTCAGACCCGGATGACTACAGATCGCAGTCTGGCTATGTTTTCTGCTTGAACGGAGGCGTTGTTAGCTGGAAGAGTTCCAAGCAGGCGACCGTTGCAGATTCTACTACAGAAGCTGAGTATATTGCAGCATCAGACGCAGCAAAGGAAGCTGTTTGGGTCAGAAAGTTTGTTGGTGACTTGGGTGTGATTCCGAGTGCTGATAGCCCCATTGCTCTGTATTGTGACAACAATGGAGCGATCGCACAAGCGAAAGAACCCAGATCCCATCAACGATCCAAACACATACTCAGACGATTTCACCTTATCAGGGAGATCATAGACAGAGGAGACGTGCACATTTGCAGGGTGTCGACAGTTGACAACATTGCCGATCCGTTGACGAAGCCTCTCCCTTCGTCGAAGCATGAGGGTCATGTTAGGGATATGGGCATTAGATGTTTAGCAGTTCATGATTAGAGCAAGTGGGAGATTGTTGGTTTAGTGCTCTATGATGTACTGTTTATGAGCTTTATTTAGATACATTTGATGTATTGATACTTTCTATGGTTTTATGAGACTATTTGATTCGTTACATGTTCTTGCATACTAGATGTGTTATGAAATCCATGTATTGTTATGAACAATACTAAACTCCCTAGTCTTGTGTCATTATGGGAATGATGACATAATAAGACTAGTATGATGTGTGATTGATGATCATAGGTATTGGATACGATCACAGTCATAGGTATTCGTTGGAGAACGGAATACTGGATTGACCCGCATGAGATTGTCACTGTTGGTTTAGTGCTCTATGATATACTGTTTATGAGCTTTATTTAGATACATTTGATGTATTGATACTTTCTATGGTTTATGAGAGTATTTGATTCATTATATGTTCTTGTGTATCATTATGATTGATACTTAACTCCCTAGTCTTGTGTCATTATGGGAATGATGACATAATAAGACTAGTATGATGTGTGATTGATGATCATATAGATGATCATAAGTATTTGGATACGATCACAATCATAGGTATCCGTTGGAGAACGGAATACTGGATTGACCCGCATGAGATTGTCACATGGACTAGCGTCATGACTTGAATCTCATTACGGTTCCATGATTGGATCCTAAGACCTGAGATATCTAGGAATCCAACATGAGGAGTTGCGTACTTTGATTACGTCAAACGTCCTGCGTAACAGGAGGATTATAAAGGCGTGTATCAGGTACGAAACGAATCATGTGCTGGATTGTAGATAGTCAAGACGAGATTTGTACCTCTCGTAAAAGAGAGAGATATCGCTGGGCCCCTCGTGTGAGCAAGACTGTAGAAATGTGTGGTCGCACTATAGACAAACGTCGTCTATTTCAGACAGTCGAACTCAGTGAACGAGAAAGCAGTCGAATCAGATAAGGTGGCTTGTCCATGCCTTATATTCGACATATGATATCGTGATACAAAAGAATCATCAAACGGAATCATCGTTGGCGTTCGTAGGATCACGAACAAACTCTATTCGAGATAGGTAGTCATAGTGTCTTGTTAGAGACCGCCTATGACTTGTATATCCGGAATAGAGATTTCGGGTTATACTGCTATATCGAATGAGCCTACAGGGTCACACACGCAGGGAAGGACAAATCCACGAGAAAACGTCGAGAAATCTGGACAAAATGTCCGGACCGTTCGGTCTAGGAGTGGACCGAACGGACCGGAGCATCTAGTCCGAACGGACCAATTGTTGGACCGATCGGACTAGAGAGTCCAGTCCGAACAGACCGAGTGTTGGACCGAACGGACTGACCCCTCGGTCTGAACGGACCAAGTTATGAGACTGGCTCGAACAGACCAAGTGTCCAGACCGAACGGACTACTAAGCAGTCCGTTCGGTCTAGGTTTCGGATTTAATTTTAAAAGTCCGGATCTAGGGTTAATCACTTGGATAAGAGGAGAAATAGAACCCTAACACTAAGGAGCCGACCTAGAGAACTTTTGAGACCCTTTTTGGAGAGTTTAGAGGGTTGAAGAAGTGATCTTATTCTCTCTTTCTCAAAGCACATCATCGAATAGAAGATTCGAGTCCTAGCAGACAAGTTCCAAAGGTTGGAATCCATCCCGAGGTGTGGATACGTGTAGAGGGCAAGGTATTCTTCCTGCCTACAGTGATCGGAGGAACATATCAATTGATACAGGTCCCGGATCGATTGAGCTAAGCGTTCTATCGTTTCTACAAGATCATGCATGATAGGTTTTAGGGTTTTATCAAAAATTTTGTTTT